TCAGCTTGCCGACATGGCGCTAATCTAGAGATCTTGGTCCCGAACATTGCTTAGCGTTCCGTCTACGGCGCGAACTTTTCAATTTCCCCGCGCTTCGAGCACCCAATTGTCTCTGGCTCATACTGCGATGTCTTGGCGACCTCATTCGGCATAGATGAACCGAAGGAGATTCGATCGCAGAACCCGAGTTCAAATCCATCGTGGAAGAGCATCTCCCACGCAAAAAGCGACTTGGACATTCCAGAAGGGCCCATCTTTCAAGTCGCCTGGATCCTGAGATCGGAGCAAGTGATGCGAGCAGCTATGAGGGACCGGTCGGCATCCCGCGACCCTTCAAGCTTCACATGGAGCTTGAAATCGATGAAATGATTCGGGCTCGCATACCAAGTCAAGGATATCCGGGAGGGCTGAGTGCGATCATTTTCGCTCCCCTCATCTTCCCAGAGATTCGGAGATCTCGGATATGTCAGGGAAGATTAGCATTCCGATGCTGTGAACTTGCCATCACACCCAATTCGGCCGAAGTCTGCGGTGCCTCCGTGGGGCAGTCACTTCGACGGTGTCTCGCGTTCATGACGTTGTTCCGGGAAGCCGCTACTTAGTTAGTTAGATCCCGGCTATTGACCGGGAGGCCGACGTGCACTTGACGTATCGTCCTCGACGAGCGCCAGAACGAACGGGTTTAATCAATCAATGTAATTCGGTGCCCGCAGACGATCGTGGAAGTTGATCGCTTACACCTGAGCTCCGCTTCATTCAGATACGTTTCACCGACTGACTGACTGACTGATTGACGGATAGATTCCTTCATTCATTCATTCGTTCATTAATCCATCCATCGATGTATCGAAGATAATTTATGACGGTGATCCCGGTGTCGATTGTGGGAGCTACGCGGAAACGCAACGACGTCCGACGGCGTCTCGGTGAATCGTCGTCGGCGACGAACTTCGCTCAAGTGCCGCCGATTGCAGTTGGACGGACAGAATTATCATAGGACGATATGGAATGAAGCGAAAGTATGTTGATTGATCACGCGTTTGGTCTCGCGATCGAAACGCTGTGATTGCTTTGAGCAACGACGGTGAACTCTACGCAGGCGGCCGAGGCATCAGCCGACAGAAAGATGAACAACGGACGCTTCATTGTACTTCGATGGGAATTTCAACTCTGCTGACTTATCAACAAAGACTCGCGCTGAAAGGGACCGCTTGTGTTGTCGTGGACGACTTCAAGCAATAGTGACCAGTCGGCTGCGAGCTGAGCGGCCCACCCGCCCAACCGACCGTACCTCTTCTCCGCAGGAAAGACGAAGAACCTGATCCGTGTCTGTCCTAACAGTAAGCAGTCAGATGTTGAGAATTCACCCATCCATCCGCCTATTCAAGTTGCGTATGCCAAACTCCTCGTGTAGTTGATTCGCCTTCGTCTTTCCCTCCACCTACGCAACAGAAAACGCCGGCTTTCTGCCACCAATACGTATGATCTATGCGTATGCTTGTGGGGTCTCCACCGGCAGCGCCGGGACCTCCGGCCTTCGTGAAGCTCCGTCAGCAAGTAAGAATTCAAGCGGCGCCCGTCGCCGTTTGTAGCTGTGTTGTCAACCGCTCACAGGCAGGACACACGGACACACAAATAAATACTTCTTGATGAATGCCAGCCGTTCGGACCGAAGCGATGAAAGGATAGTTTGAGGAGTCGGGCGGATGGATGGAATGATGAATGGATCGATCGATCGATGCTTCGAGACGAGGACCCACGGAAATTTTCTGTACGGTGGTCGAACGATCAGATCTGACGCTCTGACTGGTCGACCGTTGGGCGAACAGGCACTGGGACTGGCTCACAAGCGGGCGGACGAAGATTTTTGGTCGACCGTGAAATTTCTCAAGTGACTCCGACGTCCACGCATCCCCCGTCCTCACGCTCAAGGCTTCGAGGATCGGTTTCCTCTCACCAGGTGTGAAAACGGTCCACGTTTGGGAGGCACTGATGGAAAATCGAATGTCAATCCTCTCCTAGCCGAAACTCCTTGAGATATCCACCCGCATCCCGTCGCGCCTTAGCGATGAATATGCACACCTTGAACTGCGTAACGGAGGGAAAAATATTTCGGGTTTCCGGGACTTTCGTTACATCTTTTCCATATCCGCGAATCGGCTCCACAAACAGAACAAGATAACCTTGACGGAGCGTGATTGTTTAATGAGCGTTCTATCCTCTGGATGTTTGTTGATTCATGGAGAACTGGCACGAGGTCGTTTGGAACGCTCGAGTCCGTTCATGCATGTATCCTCGCGTTGCGATGGTCCACATTCCTCCGAGAAGCTATCCCTGCGGGACAGAGCAAACCGTATCGATTGGTGGTTGATAGATGTTCTCCGTTGACGCTTTCCATTCCTCCTTTGCTGGAAATCTCGCCCGGATTCCACTCACCGGCGATTAGATGGAGGACGTTGTTATGTGATGCGTAAGACCCCTCAAACTCCTCATAATGGTGCTGTCGGACGGGTCAGCTCGGAGATTCTCATTGTTATCATCGAGCTCATTGTGAGCTGACTCGAGATAGATTTCAACATCCATTCTTTAATTATTCATGCTCGTTTATTCTTGTACGAGCCTACATTCTTGATAGGAGAACGGAATCTTCGACTCAGCCGCGGGATATCCGTGATTTCCACTCTTCCTATCGGAAAGCCGCCTATCAGGTCGTCGGTGCCTTTTGGAGGCATAGGCCGCTCGTGAGTCCGATTCAGTATATTCTCTCCACAAGGTCGTCCCGTCATCGCCTCGTACGTTTTTGAACCTTCTCATTTTCCGTCAGGGATATCCTCGCCCTAGAGCGTCGGTATGACATAGGCGATACTGGCGGCCTTGATGATGACCCCGGCCGTACTGCCGAGTTTGTTCGGTTCTAGTCGGAGCAAGATACCCGTGAGATCGCGGGCTCTCCAATGGTGCTTGTCTGAAGTGTCCTTTCTCGGAAAAGTTCCGGTTACAGCACGGTAACGGCATGACAGCGCCTCGCTACCGTCAGTGGACGCATTACGAATAGCATCGGGAAGAACGGAGAGGATGTAACGGCGGCGAACTACTGCTCGAATGCTGGTTATTCACATCCACTGTTTTCTCTTCGTATTCCTTCAGATCAGACGTGGATTCGCGGTGATATACGGTCGACTCCGACCTAAAACATTACCACGTGCGCGATCGGAGCCAACATCGGAGAAATCACCGACGTCGAGAAGATCGAGTCGACTGTCACAGCCAAATGATGATTTCATATCTACGGATGCACAGCGAAAAAAAGGCAGCTTTGAAACTTTGTTTCCATTGAAGCAAGTGACAATGTTTGATCGGACGTTCTTGCGCAACAGCTGTTAACAAATCGTAAGGAGCGTCGGAATAGAAGTATCGACTTTCAAGCAGCCGCCCCCCTTGAGATTCCATCTGTTTGTTCCCCATGTACCTAGCACTGCACGTACCGTACCTGATATGTGGCTAGGATAAACGCGCCGCACCCATACACAGGAGGTGATTCGATCGGGCATTCTCGGGAAATATCGGAGACTGGGGATCGAGCATCGTTGGAGATCTCAATGCACAGACGGGACGAGCCGAGGCGACGCCGTCGGCATCATTGAAAGCCAAATCTCGGATGCATGATTTGGAACGAATAATCCCCGGAACACAAGGCCAGCGACTGTCAGCGGACGTAGAAGGATATATCGTGGAGTCCGTTATTTATACATTCTGCCGAATCTATGCGTTAGATCCATTCCCCACGCGAGATCTCTCGAAGCTTCGCCCGTCTGTCGGACGCAGGCGGAACTTTCGGATCGATTCATTCCATGCCGATCATGGAGCGTATCTAAACCCATCGGTGACAACGATGGGAAAACTCAACCGACTGAGCGAGAATATGGGTGACCTGACGAGGTGATATTCTTTCTTCGCCCCAACAATTGAGATGTTGAGCTCTTCGACGACCCGGGCTAGCCTTATCTTGAAGTCCACCGGGAGTGTGCTTCGGTTCGTGCTGATAACGATTTTTGAGAGGCTCGTTGATTTGCGAGCGGCAAGCCGGTAGACATCGGCTAGGAGCCGAGCATCGTACCTCTAACACTTGAAGTAGCTGCAGCCAGAACTGAACGGAGATAATAAAATGAGACCGAAGCCAAGTGACAGGCGAGTCGTACGACTGAACGAATACTCGGTTAGCCAGCTACCCGTCCGGTGGACCCGTCAGTAGTTGTTGGACTCCTCCCGGGCCCCTAGCGCCCCTCCAGCAGCGAGATCAGCTCGTGGTGAGCACGCTGCTGGTATCTCTGTCAGAGTCGGGCGGACGCGCACGCACTCACTCGCGCATGGGCATTGTGCTTGACAGCGTGTAATTGAGAGAGAGTATTAACTCTTCGGGAGCGCGGCGTCTTAAGTACATGCTTCTGACAATGCGCACAATTTCTCACGGTTTGCTTGGGACTAGACCGAAGTACCAACACGGCTTACCTGCGAATTCTGTGATGCGCTGGTTTGACAGAGGCCTCGCCTCGTTCCTCTTAACGGAACACATTCAAAACAAAAACAACCTACAGGTGTTGACTTCTGAGTCCCATGCTGCGATTCGTGACGAATCTCGACCACCTGAGAGCGTGGTCCATGCGGATCTCGTTCGCGGTTCCGTAGGCGTCGATAGACGTCCACGTCGATCCATTGATGACTCTCAAGAATCCGATACTGATCCTAAATCAAGTCTCTTCTAATTTTCCGAGAGGGTACCCGCGCTCCTAGAACACTAGCCAAATATTCTCGCATCATAGCTCCCCATTTCGGTCGCTGGAAAATGATCAATGAATCATCGTCGGCTTTCCGTTCCATCCTTCTTTTTGAAGACATTAGTACAACGATCAATACGGTCTCGTTTTCTTTTGCAGCCTCCACCGTGCACTTCGGCGGAAGTGAATTGCTAACGGAAGGAAGCCGGAAAAGTGTGGGGAAGCATGAGCGTCGAGAAGAAGCCGCGTGGTTTCCTCAATGAGGCCGTGTGGCCCAACAGGATCACCATCAGACAGGATGCCATCTCCGATTCGTATGCGGTCGAGACCAGGCCGTTCGCAAGGTATGTTGCCCCAAATCGCTCCAGGCGAGGATACGTATCGATTGGAATTCGACTTTCCAACATCAACCCGGCTTGATCGACGACCGATGTCCCTCCCGAACCTGTCATCAGGTTTCGCAGGAATATTTTTAGTCAGTGTCTGGTAACCACTAGAACATTTTCTGGTGGACCGTTCGGTCGGTTTCTCCGCTTGATTGCGTGCTCCTTCGGGACCCCGTTATTTACCAGAACCCGCTACCCAAGCCAACTGAGTTTCCCGAGGCGCAGGTCCGAGACTTGACGTCCCGCGGCCTCCGTGAGGTGTTCGAATCCGCTCTTATCTCGAGTTGAATGTGTTCTCCCCTTAGATATGTGGTGGCCAATGTTGAACGATGAAAGTTTTCGCCCTACCTTTTTTCTATTTACTTACCTTTCCCGGTGGTAGAATCAATCACCGCCTCGAGCCAGTCCATTTTCTGTTCAACACCTCACGAATCAATGCGCGCGCATTCCTTGACTGGGAAGCACCGACCCGAAAACAAGAGGTGAAGCCAGCCGTCGATAGACACGACGAAGTGACTTCGGCGGGGGCTCATCCGGTAGATAATCGTGGGAGTAATGCAGGTGATGGATGTCATGTCCTCCCCTTCTTTCTGTTCGATTGGAAGATCGGGTCTAATCGAACAGGAGGGAGACGGATAAGTTGCTCGGCCCGGATGTCTGGGCATGTGTGGGTGGCAAACGGAATTTGTTCAACGAGATGAAGAAAAGCTATTCTTCGTCTGATTCGCGTGCGGTGCGTCGATTACGGCATCGGCGATGGTCTCCGCGGCACCACGAGGGTCGTAAGCTTAATGGGTTTGAACCTTTCATCCCTCCGGAATTCCCTCCCTCAGCTTTTCGCACGACCTATGACTCACACGACATATCATGCACCCTCATATCATATGAGGGTGCATGATAGGAACCTGTCACCTCATCAAGTTATCCCCCCTGAGAGTGGATCTATGAGAGCGGTTATCCCTGCCATGAGAATTCGAGGTCGGAAGGGACCATAAGGAGCCTAAAGCCTGCCGAAGTCATGTGTCATGGACGGTTTGTGTAGAACTTCTTTGGTCTTCCATCCACTGATCTGCGAATTTATTTTCTGGCAGCACTGGGAGGTATAAAGTAGAATGAAATTCGAAACGATATCGCCAGAAGCTAGAGCTCTATCTTGACTGAGTGAGGTTATCTCAGATTAATCGTTTCTCGGGAAGCAAGGTCGAGCCTAGCGAAGAGACGCCTTCCCGAGCGACTCCCATTCGATTGTCATCAACTAGGGCGTGCGTTATGCCTAGGCATCCAATCATTCGACTTGTGTCTATCCGCTCACCGTGTTTCCAGTGCTTTGCCTTCAGAGTAGCGATCGGATGGGAACAATCGCGCCGTAATGCTGCTCGAAGAGGTATCCCGTGGTTTTGATTGGCAGCCTGTCGTCGGGTCAGATCGAGGAATCCCGGAGCAGCATGTATGCAGAGTTAAATGGACCATGAGCAGCAGAGCGACGAGTTCGCGACTTCGTACTCGACGTCGAGAGAATCTCAATGCGGCAGATGTCTTCTGCTCTGTCGCCGCGGCCTCCAGTGCGGCCGCTGCTCCTTCCTGAACTGGCTCGAATAGTTCGCATTCCTATCGACAAAGATGATTCGGGATACGCGTATTCGATGTGCTCGGTTGCCGGCAGCGGCAGCTCCGAGGCAGCTTTTCGTATTTCCTTAAGTAAATTATCGATCATCTGATTCCTGAGTCACGTTTTTTTCTTTTCTTTGCTCGGACCACTCCTAGAATGTTACCACATTCTCGCGAGCGTATGTCTTCTCGGGTTCGCACCGCAGTAGTCTGTCATTCTAGGAAGGTTGCGAAGTGAATGAATTTGATCTCGCTGTCGCTCGGTCAGTTAGCTGGACGGCTGAGCGGCTGGACGCTTGATTGAATAGCGGCCTTGGCTTCCATCCGGTGTAGGCACGGTCTAAACGCGCGTCTTCTTCCGTTTTTTCTTCTATTTTCGATCCCGTTCCTCCGAGCGAGACAGGAGATACTTTGCAGCATAGTAGAATGAACGCCATCTTATGGAGGAAGAGAAATCATAAAATAATAAGGGAGACGGGAAACGGAGACATCTTCTTGTGCGGTCCTGGGGAAGGAAGTGTCTTCCTCCTCCCGAGTTCTAGGCGTATCCCCTCTCTATCACCGCTCGTCGATCTTCCCGATTCCCGACGTATTTACAAGGTCCGACTCACGAATTCGCTTTCGAAACACACACGTATTCCGCGCGTACGGCCAAAAAGTGGCTTTCGTGGAATCGATTGATCCAACGAATCTGTTAGCGGAATCGACTAAAGGCCTGCTTTGTTTTCCCGAACAGCGAGCGGTTCAATAGTGCGAAGTTTCTGCCCGAGTAGGCCCGCTCGGAAGGGAGTCCCGAGCGAAGCTGCTCAAACTGAATCCGACATACATATGTAATTCCGATTATATCAAGCCTGTGAGGTGATAGGCGGTGTAAATAATGAGTCGAGCCGGTGTAATTTTGACAGATGCCGGTGTTAGAAAGTTATTTACGCTAATTGCCAGCTCTTGAATCCCTGTCGGTATCCCTGGTTCTGTTCGGCGTCATCGTCGTGGTCGCAACGATGGTTACGCTCATTTTGCGATTGCGTAGTGAAACAGCGCCACGAGTGGAGTCATTCATTGATAGCTTCTAAATGTACGAAATTAGGTAAGAATCATTGTTCGATTCCGCTCGGTGTGAGTGGCGAATCAAAATGAAATATCTCCTCTTCCGACTGTACAGGCATCATATCTTCCGTACACCTCCACCACCGCCAGCGTCATCATCACCATCATCTTGGCGAGCTTCAACGCTGCCATCGTCTTCGTAGCGTGCGAGACTATTATTACCTATCAGCAACGGGACCGACCGCCATCAACCGCGGTTATTGAGTGTGAGCTTCTTACGTAGCGGTCATTAATAGAGAGTCGGGAAGCATGTCATTCACTGCGGAATGCTGCCAACAAACTCATCGGGATCAACAATCGTCACTTGTTACCTTATACCTCTTCTGAGCAGTATGAGGCTCGTGGCAGAGTCAGATCAAAGCAATCACCGCTTAAAATCCGTGCATGACCCTACAAAACCTCGAAATCGACCGAGAAGGGTCGAGTGGTTAGCGGTCCTCGCGCGTTCTGGACCGAGTCTAAAGAATACTCGAGAGGGGAGTCGCCTTCTTTCCGGGCCCCACTCCGTTGAAACCCGAGTTTCGTGCGAAATATGCGTTCCCGGAGGCATTTCCGCCGGAAGGTCCCTCTCAGCCGGCAAATACTCCTCGGCATGAGATGGGTTTCTAATAAGGTCGAAGACTGGCATGTCTAACGTCGCGTCGGTCAGTGAAATCGAGATATGTGAGCTTTTGAGCATCAACTGTCTCTCACCGCTATGTGAACTACTATGATTCCTATGCGTCAGGAGCAGTACATATCTCGCTCCGCCTCGCGAGCTCTACCGTCACCAGCGTCACAGATCCCACTCGATACGGCAGCTGGAGAGGAATTGGCGCATGGACTTGGTACGTAAATGTGGGGCGTTTCAATAGCAAATTGCGGTTGCTTTTTTCATCTTCTTACTCTTGCTCGGGATCAAGAATGAATATTGTACGAGTGGGAGCGGGACACCCCGCGTAACTGTGGGAGCAGGGTACGTTCGCCGCTTGCTTCTACTGCCCAACGAGCCGATCCACTACCCGTACGTCGCCGTCGTCATGCGACGATCGCGCTTGGGAGTTTTCGAAATGCTCAGTTGCGTTCATGTCCACATATGCAAATTGGCAAAAAATTAGTGGACGGATTCGGATTCGCATCGTCGTCAAACCATGTGGCTTGGCAGGGAGTGGTCTTCGACTATCGATACATTTGTGGGATGCTTTCGACGACCCAATTGTTCGGCTTGTATTTCACCGCTATTGATTGCCGTTGATTCGAGTTCCGCTCGTACACAGAATCCGGCGTGATGTCGTCGCGGACGTTCCCTCGATCGGAGCTCTTCAACTGCACCAAAAACCACACGAGGAGTGGGGGAACAAGCGGCGGCACCATTACCATTTGGTGGTTTCAGTCGAGGCCTTGTTTGCCTCGTGGCTGGCTGGCTGGCCGGCCGATCAGCCGTTCAAACGCTCAGCTTAGCCGGCTAGCAGTTCGGATGACGGGCGTTTTGTGTGTCGAAATTTGTGAAGAACAAATTACGGAGCTTCGGAGAAGATCTACCTCATTCAGTGACCGTTCTAGCGAGCTTGGGTTTCAGCTTGGCTGGCCCGATGCCTAAATGCATGCAAGCATCGAATACCACGCCAGCAAAGGAGAAAACAACTGCCACAACAACGACGATGAGTGCGATGAGAAGATCGAAGCTGAAACATTTTCAAGTGGTTCTCTCCGGGCATTTCGCACGTGGGTGTTGTCGTTGCTGGTTCCGTTGGCGGATCCTTAAGGCGAGAGCAATCAGATGCAAAATGATGAACAAACAGGTGCCGAAGTGCACAGCGGAGTCGTCTATTGTTTTTCCCTTGTTCGGAGGGATTGTCGTTAAGCGACGCGACCGACCTTAGCGAATCATCGCTTTCGACCGCTCAAGATGCGCTATCCCGGGGAATAGATGTATGAATTGAACTCCATGAGAATCCGATGATAAGCTGCCGACGAGCTCAGCTCTGGATTAGAGAACACGAGTTCTCGATTTTCCCGTCTCTTGATTCCAATCAATTTCTTCTGACGTGTCCCCCGTGGCCGTGGCGCCTCGCCGTCTTCTGCGATATTTCGAACTTCGTTTCCGTTCGAAACCGACTAGGGCGTCCCACGTCGAGTCGGACTAGCCAAATATTCGTCATTCGCTCCCGTCGGCAGTCCCATGATGAAGCGGACTTCATTCAGGGTTTTTGACATAACTTGCTTTCGATAGTTTTCCACTCGATTCAACTGGGCGCACGATC